AGAAAGCTTTCTAGTACCTGGACTTCGACAATACGAAGCCCCAGAGTTTGATGGTCTCGGACCCGATTGTGGCAATGAGATGGTTGGCTAATGTGGAGGGTTGTTTCTTCACGTGTTCTTTTCCGGATGACCAGAAGGTCAAGTGCGCCCTAAACCTCCTAAGGTTGGGGGCGAGGGATTAATGGAGATTGGTGACTGGCTCTTGCACTCCTGAGCAGGGAGTCGTGGTGACTTGGGAGCAGTTATCGGAGACGTTTCGTACGAGGTATGTTCCCCTGGTAGAGAGGGGGAGACTGGCCCAGGAGTACCTGGATCTAAGACAGTCGACCGTGTCGGTGACGGAGATCACCAAGATGTTCACTGAGAGGGATTTGTTCAGTCCTGATTTCTCTGCTTCGGAGCATGCTCAGATGACTCGGTATTTGGGCATGCTCAAGATGGATATTCGACATTTTGTATCCACCCAACGCTATGGTTCTCTCGTTGAGCTTCAGGATGTCGTGAAGAGGCGAGAGATTGAGATAGAGACTCAGACGAGAGAGCAGCTTCAAGCTCCGGATCAACCCCAACTTATGGCGAAGCGGTTCAAGTCCACTGGCCGAGTTCGGGATCAGTTGGAGGGAGGTACAGATCTTTTGTATGTCACAGGTGTGGCGAGGAGGGCCATTTTGGTAGAGATTGCAGGCGGAGTGCGCGAGTTTGTTTCCAATGCGACCAGGAAGGTCACATCAAAGCTCAATGTCCTTTTCTCATTTTCGGCGAGGTGTTGGATCCTACACCCCTAGCTTGGCAGTTACCCGACGATCATCATGGGACGGTCGGAGTCCCAATGACCGAGAGTTGAGTTGGCAGTTTTTCTATTTTAGCAATTTTTGTGGTATTGGTATTCATCTGTAATTTTTGTCTGTGTTTCAAAGTTCAGTTGTAATCTTGAATGATCAGTTAAATGGAATTATCTTATTTAGCTTTTTTTAAATTGATTTCTTGTTATGAATGGAATAATTATCATTGTCTTCGATGTATGCGAGTTAGAATTTGTGAATGTTGTGTGGGTTCAAATTCTCCTGTGTATGTAGATATCAGTGGTCGAGGTCAAGTGGTGGAGTTCAAGTTATTTTGAGTATCGAAGGATTGTGAAGTTGTCAGATCTCTAGCATATCTCAACTGGGGGATAATGGAACCTATTAGCAGGAAAACCTTGTGCCAAGGTTCGGTTCTCAGTTGAAATTCTCCAGGTTCAAGACATCCGTGCAACGGCTGAATCTTTTGGTTTCACATCAAGATCATTGTCAGCTGTTGAATTTCCCTTCAAGTCGTATTAGTTTTAGTTATGGCATCATATGTAGGGCATGCTTGTTCTTTATACTCTAGGGTGTTGGAGCCCAGGTTGAGGGTTGTGATGACGGCTTCCTTGTCTGTTCTTGTTTGATTGGGGCTTGGAGGTCTGAGTCATGGCCCGAAGACCTGGTAGGATCTGTTAAGTCTTGTTGAGCCTGAGTGTTGTTTTTGTTTATTAAACCGGGGGTAGGCCCGAGTGCTATTGTTGGTTATTAGATCGGGGGGGTAGGCCCGAGTTTTGTTGTTGCTTATTGGATCGAGGGTAGGCCCGAGTGTTGTTTTTGTTTATTGGATCGGAGGTAAGCCCAAGTGTTGTCATTTAGTAGATCGGGAGTAAGCTCGAGTGTTGTTGTTTGTTAGTGGATCGGGGTGAGCCCGAGTATTGATAGTGGATAACTTAGCTGGGCTATCGGAGCCGAGTAGGAGTGTGGTTTAGTTCATTATGTGACCGGATAGTTTTCATGGCAGTGGTGCACTTATGTGTGGGTTTAGCATGACGACGTTTGGCCGAGAAGCTCTTGGACCGATTAGATCAGCGGATTTTTAAGCAGCTTGGTTGTTGTAAGGGATTACTTGAGGAAGTGGAAGCACGAGCTGATTTCAAGGAAGAAATCTAATTTAAGTGGGTGAGAATTATAACACCTATTCCAGTTATGAAATGTGTAGATGCCATTTTGGGTGGCCACGACATGGTGGAGCCTCACCACGACGTGGCAATAGCTTATGGGTCGCGAGGATTTAAGGAACCACCACGATGTAGCAAGAGGTGCCACGACGTGGTGGCCGCTGTTGGAGAAAACCCAAAACGTTTTGAGGGTTGAGCCCTATTTAAACAATCTTAACCTTATGTAGCCTCCCTCCCATCAGCCTCCAACCCTCATAATCGTCCCTTTCAAACCCTAGACCTCTTGTGTGAGTTTTTAGCCTAAAGTGTGTGTTTTTGTTCTTGTGAATAAAGACGGTGGTGGTAGATCATCTTGGTAGTCCAAAGCAACGTAGACCCAAAAGTTTCTCTTCCTCAAACATCTCCAAGAGGTATAAAGCCTTCATCTTGATTAGTAAATTGATATATCTTTAGATTTTGTCCACCCTTCTCTATGCCTTGTTGTTTTGGATGGTTTGATCTCATAAAGCTTGTAACTTTATGAATCCCTAAGCTTTGGGAGTATTTGGTGCTTTGGATCTAGGCTAGGATTGAGTTCTGAGACCATGCATGGATATTGGCCTTTTTGCCCTATTTTGACCTAATAAGAGTTCAAGACATACATTAGACATGCATGTCTGAAAAGCACATATTTTTATAATGAGAATGGTGTTACAAACTCTTTTGGAGTTGTTGGACAGTGACCTTATAGATTAAGTGCTTATTGCTTAATTCATGTGGTGTTTTGGACCATAAAGTTGAGATCTATGCACCTTGGAGGGTTCTAAGGGATAAAGTTGGAAACTTTATCCATTTAGCCCCTAAAATGGCCCAGATCTGAGTTGGATAATCCTTGGAATTGAAGAAAAGAGCTTAATTCGTTAACCTGTTGAATACCTAGTGGCCACGACATGGCAAAGGTCACCATGACGTGGCAGCTAGGCTGGTCACAACTATTTTGTCGTATCGACACCATGACGTGGCGGTCAGTCTGTTGACTTTCGTTGACCGTTGACGTTTTGACCAAGTTTTAATTTGGATCAAACTTGAGGATTTTGGGCAACTGATTAAGATTCTATTTGGTTCTTGTGTTAGTGGATTCGCGGGAGCAAGCAGTGCTAAAAAAGGGATCGTATCGTTGTGATTCCTTCGATTCAAGTAAGTTTCGCCACTCTGTACCCGTGGGTCGAAGACACCAATGTCCGCCCACTAGTTTTTGATATCTATTAGTAGAGGGATGCCTTAAGGATTGTATATAGTCATGTAGGATATACTGAGGACTCTTGATCTAGGCTCTTTTACCTGTTCCTCATTTGGTTGTGGTTCTAGAGTAGGATCACCTGTCCGGGTACCTATCTCACCTCTGATTATATACGCTTATGCATTTCTTAGATTGTTGATATTTAGTATACTCTAATGTTGTAGTGATCTGTTAGATTTGTATCCTGGTATCGAGTATGTTGCTATGCTGTAGTGATTTATTAGATCTGTATCCTGGTGTATAGGATGTTGTTATGTGGTAGTGATATGTAGAACTGTATGTTTATTTCTACTTGTTGCATATCATCTAGTGAAGTGCCCTAGGGATCGTATGTGGTTATGTAGGATGGCCTGATAACTCTTGATCTAGGCTTTCTTGCATGTTCCTCATTTGGTTGTGGCTCTAGAGTAGGATCATCTGTCCGAGTGCCTATCTGACCTCTGGTTACTTATGGTTACACACTTCATGGAGGTTAGCTGGTAGCAGGAAGTGTGTGGTACGGGAGTAGTAGGCGGTAGTGAGTTGTATGATTGATGTTTGCCTGTATTATGTGCCTGCTTGATCCTTGATTGTTAATATGTCTACATGTCATGTTGGGGTTGGGGCTCTACTGCTTTGTGCGTGAGTCAACAGAACAGGTATTTCAGTCTGATGACTGAGTAGACCAGAGGGTATTCCAGTCCGATGACATTAGGACCCGTTGTACATTGGCATTCCAGTCCGATGTCTGATTGGGCCAGGGGTATTCCAACCCCGATGGCTGATTGGACATGTTGGATATTGGTCTTGCAGTCTGATGACTGATTGGGTCAGGTGTATTCTAGTCCGACGGATAATTGGACCTATTGTATGTTGACATTCTAGTCCGAGGACTGATTGGGCCTGTGCATTCCAACCGGAAGGTTGTGGTCATTATGCATGCTTGTATGTTTATCGTAGAGGGTATTTTGGGGGATACTAACTAAGCTTTGTGTTTATGAAGTTGTTTATTGTTTCATGTATCATTGGTAATCATGGGAAGGCGAAGGCGTGACTGTACACATTCATCAACAACAATGATCATTATGCGCTTTAATATTACTCTTGATTTCTAATAAATGTATTTGGAGTAAACGGTTTTTTTTCAATAATGGATTTATTATTGGGAAGTTTTACTTTAATAAAATGAAATTTTTTTGTTATGAAAATGGGACGTTACATGTCAAAACTACAATAATATCACTCTCTCTTTCTCTCTCTCTCTCTCTCTCTCTCTCTCTATATATATATATATATATATATATATATATATATATATATATATCAAATATAGAATAGTAGATAAGAAATAAATTAATAAAATAGTTAAAAAGATATTACATATAAGATACTAGATTATAAACCATTAAGTATTAAATAGTTACAAACAGAAAATATAAAAACTAGTCATGAAGTGAAGCCGTTTGTGGTGGTGTCCGGCATGGTTTGGGAAAGTGTATACAGTGAGTAAGGGTGGCCCGGTGACAGAGATACGGCATAGATGTGGAGGAGACAGGTGGTGGTTGGTTGACGAGATTGGGAGGCAGAGGCGGGTTCACCTAAACCACATTATATTTTCCCAACAGAAAACTTGGCCATGAAAACATTTACAATGTTTGATTTGATTTATGAATTAATATAAACAACTATTTAATGGTTAACAATATTATAGCAGAAGCCAGAAAGTTGGAAAATATACTGAATTTTTATTAAATTTATTCACAGAAAAACAGTTTTTCAACTAGCAAACACAATACACGTGCGTAAACTCCCAATTCTTTCTCCTAAAACCAAAATATTATGAAAAGAACAACATTTTGCCATGAAGTGATACGTTTTATTATCCCTCTATGATTCCATGTACTGTGTGGAGGGAGGAATTGTTTTTATCGTCTGAGGACCTTCAACTGTTGATATTTGATCACATCAATTACTACCCAAAAAAATGCATAAATACCAATAATAATAAATAATAATAATCACTAGAAAGTCATCACACCATGAATTCCTCGCATTTCAATTTCCCGTAATTCTTGGACAAGCGCACAACAACAGCAACATAAATGCAATACAAAGTCACCACACCACCCTCCCTACATAACACAACAAGTTGTACTGCGTTTGGTATGCATTGAACTGGTCAACTGGTACTTGGAATAATGCCAATAAGACAAAAATTGCCGTTCTTTTGTCCGAACCAAAAAGGTGGAGCAAGGTAGGACAGAGGCTCGCTCTCGATCTCTCATCTGTTCAAAAGACGTAAATACCCTTCTCATCCTCGTCATTGAAAATAGCCCAAAAAAGTGGCATAGTCATGTACCGTGCAACAAATGCAGCCGAAGGCTACATGTGTTACACTGGACTGTACTGGACAAGGTTTCTAGGGCTATTTTCAATCATGAAGATGAGAAGGGCATTTACGTCTTTTGAACTGATGAGAGATCGAGAGTGAGTCTCCGTCCCATCTTGTTCCACCTTTTTGGGTGAGACAAAAAAACGGCAATTTTTGTCTTATTGGCATTTGTCCAAGAACCAGTTGACCAGTTCAATGCATGACAAACACAATGAAGGCTTAAACAGTATTACCCTGATGTTCAAAGTATTCCGAAGCTTCCTCCTAATGCAACAAGTATAGCAACAACATGATGCTATTAAGGAGTAAGCCATCAGCTCATTGCAAGCATCTGCTGAAGCTGATAAAATCACATTTTTTTCGTGTAAGCTTCTAATGCATTATAAGAAATAATAAATAGAATTTGACCACATAATGCTCTTAGTTAAACGACATTGGTATTAAGTAGGCAATCTTACTCATGTGCGTGTTTGTTGCCACTGTAGCAATTTTTGAGAGTGTTCCACATGGACATAAAAAGGTTTTTAAGCCTATAGAAATACATAAAAACCTGTTTAGTTCACAAGGGAGAAATACAAAATAATACAAGTAGGATGAAGGACTACAAGACATACACATCATAGGCTCTGAACAACAACCAAGAACATCTGAATGCCATTCTTCCTCTCGATAAGATCCTCTAGAAGAAAGCAAATCTTGTCTGGATGAAACTGAAGAAATGCTTCTGAAAAACAATAGATATATCATTATATCTATCACCAATTCCTTCCAAGAAACATAAATTTTGATCAATATTTATGTAGAATCTACAAACCTTGAAGTTGAAAGAACATTCTTTTGCACTTCATTATGATCTTCATGTTCTTTATTGCTAATAACATACGGATAGTATTCCACATCCTTTTCATACTGAGAATTTGAAGCAAAAACATCCACGATTTCCATAAGATTTTGAACCATTTCACATTGGCTAACATCTAAATAGGATTGTGAATGTTGTAGCTCCATATGAAGTTTTTCATTTTCTTTCTTTATAACCTCATTAAAAGGCAAATCTGGGTAGCTAAAAGAAAGAGATCTTCTCAAAACAGCAACATCATCAGTATTAGATGGATTAGGCTTCATAATAACATCTTGCACCCTTCTGTCTTCTTCATCTAATGTGTATTCGTTTTTGTCCATTTCAATATATTCCAATCTTTCCTGCATAAAAGTTATACAAGTTGTTTCTTTTTGACTTAACAAGTTAATCTGAATAGCTATACATAACTGTTTCTTTAGATCTTCATTTGGACAAAATGACTTAATGGATTAAGACACTAACATTTTACCTATTTCCCTTTCTTTTTTCTCCTCCCAACTCCTCTCATGTTAAAACTGATAAATATTGTGAAATTTGTTTCTTTTGGAGTGTAAATATAAGGTATAATGACATAAAAGCCCTTATGTTCTACTAAAACTAGATGTTTGCAATTTATTTTTTTTAATTTTACCCTTTTGTGTATTTTAGGTTCATTAAAGCCCTTACCTTTGGCAGAAATGTTCAGTTTTATCCTTTTTTTGGTTCATAAAAAGCCCTGAAGTTTGGTTTTCTGGTTCATTAAAGCCTTTTAAATTTGGGAGAAATGTTCGGTTTTACAGGGTAAATCTGCAAAAAAGGGTAAATTTGGAAAAAAAAAAAGTTGTAAACATCATGTTTTAGTGAACGTAAAACCCATAAATAGGTAAATCCACAATTTTTTGTCAAACTTAAGGGTCTTTATGTCATTAGGTAAAATGAATATGAGAGAGAGAGAGATTAGACAATTGAATCCACATTAAAATCAAGTTAATACCTTGAATCGAGAATTATCCACAAGAGTAATGAGAGGTATGATCTTCAAGTATCTATCGATCTCATCTTGTGCCTTTTTAAATTGGTAAACAATGGTCCAACCCATTGCAAGTAAGTAGAAATAGCTTCTATCCTGACAACTATTCACCAAAATGTAAGATCTTCTTAATGCATCTTCAAGTTGCTCTAAAGGTTCACGAGTTTCTGGATACTTCTTGAGTTCACTGATTTGAAGTTGTTCTAAAAGATTTCCAATCAATCTCAAATGCATTGCGAATTGTTTGCAGTTGTTTTTGTGCAAACGAGCAGTGCTAGCAGCTTTTACAATCATTCCTATTAGCTTCACTGCATCAAAACCTGTTAGTTGAGCCACATTTGCAATTTCCCCTAAATGATCCCATGCTGCAGCAGCCATTGTTGATTGTTCTTCAAAGAAATTCCCAAATGGCGCTGTCTTAATCTCGTATCTGTGTTTGATTGATGATGCACATCTCAAAGTAAACAGTATGTTTGATCATAATTAACGAAATCAAACATCTATTTTAATTTAATCATATGTTTTTGGAGAAGCTTCAAAGGATCTTCATGAAATGAAGCCAAATTCTGAGATCTTCAACAGGAAATTCTGTATCAAATAAAAGCAAACATATATATTAGCAAAAATTAACTAGATCGAACATAAAATTAATAACAAAATTTTCCCTCGCTTACAATTACCAAAGTTGGAAAATTGTTCATCAATGCAATTTAACATCAATTTGAAGGGAAACAAACGTAAACGCACAAATGAACACAAATGAATGTGAAGAAGTGGTTATAACTGAGAAATTGAGGATTACGGAAATTTCTACCTTCTGATTTCATGGTTTTGGAGTTCCCTGCGAAGCATCTTCATCTGCTTAAAATTTGTAGGAACAATCGATTGAAAAACAGACGAAATTAGAATTCTTGTTGCTGTTGTTGTTGTTGTTGTTCTTCTTCTTCTTCTTCTTCTTAAAGACAGGTTTATTAGGAGATGTTTGAAGAAATCATTCCACAATATCCTCTCCCTCTTCTTCTCCCTACTTTCTCTGTGTAAACCTCTGCAAGGAGAGGGGTTGGGTGTCTCTTTTGTCCATGCTCCACGTCTACTACTTTCTTCCATTCTGTAGAGGGAATGTCAATATGTTTTAAGTATCAAATAGCAAAACTTGTTTTTTTTTTTTTTGTTAATTTATTTTTATTACACGAATGGTCCCTATGGTTTGGGGTAATTTGCGAACTTATCCCTAATTTATTTTTTTAACTCGGAAAGTCCCTATTGTTTGTTTTTGTTACGCGCTTGGTCCCTAATGTTTGTTTTTGTTACGTGTTTGGTCTCTGTCTTACCTAAAAAGACTATTATTTAAACGAGGAAAAAATAATGGGATAGGTAAAGTAAGGTGAATGGGGTTAGGTTGAAGGTATTTTTATTTAAATAAATTAAAAAATCAATGGCAAAATAGTATTTTTAGGTAAGACAGGACCAAACACAGAGCAAAAATAAATAGTATGAACATTCCGAATTAAAAAAATAAGTTAAGGATCAAACGCGAAAGTTACCATAAACCATAGGGACCATTAGTGTAATTTACTCTTATTTTTTTATTTAGTCTTAAAATAGAATTGTAATATCATCTAATGAATTAAATATAAAAAGGCTAAACCATTAGTATATAGTGTTCTTTTCTCTTTTCCAAGTATTGTCTCTTTGTTTTATATTATAAAGTTTGATTCCAGAATTAAATAAATCTTGTTCGTTTCTAAATCCAAATTTCATAAAACATCACTAACATGGGTAAACCATAATATGGACTCAAATAAATTTCTTCAATACTATATATTTTTGAGAATGACAAATTTGTATTTAATCTAAACAATTGCTAGAAAAAATATGATTCAAAAGACATTTTTTTGACAGGAATGTATATTATGTATTATGTTTTATATGAAACCAAGCAAGTATATCTCTAGTTTATAAAATTGCATGTATGAAACAGACATGATTTTGACTGTGATTTTGTATCTTTTATTTGGTTTTATTCTTTGTGTATGAATAGTAGATGCAAGATGGGTATTAACCATTTGTTATATATTCAACATTTAATTTGATGTGCCACTATGGGATTAGCTCACTTGATAGAGGTTTTGCCTTTTAGATTAAAGGTCACAGGTGTTGGCGATTTCTTCTAACCATTAGCGGACTCATGTTCATGTATTAGTGTTATGTATTATATTGTATTATGATAGCCAATTAGTTTGTATGTATTAATATTATGTATTTATATTGTATTGTGATAGCCCATTAGTTTGTATGTATTGCAAGTATCGACCATCAGGATTCTTAGACACTTAGCATATGGATTATATGTATGTCACCTTAAGTGATCCTTATACGGCCTAAAACAAGCCCCAAGGGTTTCGTATCAGCGGTCTGCTCATCATACTATTCACATGGGGTTCAAACACAGTCTCATTGACTTCTCTCTTTTCATTTATCATAATGGTGTCGATACTGCATATTTCCTTATATATGTTGATGACATTGTCTTGACTTCTCTATCTCTCATTCTTCTTCCACCTATTATCGCTCAATTCAACAGTGAGTTCATCATGAATGACCTTGGGGGTCTCAACTATTTTCCCGGGACATCTGGCACCCGCTCTCCTCACGGTCTCTGTAACACCGTAATTTTTCAAACAAATTTTCACATTTTTAAAAGCATACTTTCATTCATAAATATTATAAAAAACTCATTGTATCACATATCAATCCATAGAAACACATCCCAAGATCATAATGTATAAAAACTCCTCATGTGTGTACTGATCATGTCGGCGCCTTTCCGCGATCCCCACTGGTACCTGAAACACATAACACAACACTATAAGCATAAATGCTTAGTGAGTTCCCCAAAATACCAAATATAACACATATTAGCCACTCGAGGCTGTAACTCTGTGGACCCTCCGGTCCTAACTCTGTGGACCCTCTGGTCCTAACTCTGTGAACCTTCCGGTTCTAACTCTATAACTTTGGAACATACACGACATGAATCACATAGAAATAATGCAGTGTATCATAATCACATAAATAGCATACAAGATACTCTGCCACATATCTCTAATTACCACTCTAGGTAAAGTATAGTGAGAAGACTCACCTCGGGTAACTCGGTAAACCTCGTACTCTGAAATACTGCACTAGCCTTCGCCTAATCACATAAATAATTATTCTAATTAATACAACTTCTAAAGGCTAGGCCAACCCCTCTCTATAAGTTCTCTAAGAAGGGTAAAAGACCATTCTACCCCTCCAATGGCTCATAAGTCCAAACACTGAATAAACCCTAAAAGTCAACAAAAGTCAACGGTCAACATTGATCGGACTCGCCGAGTGCACTAGAGTGACTCGGCGAGTACATGCATGTCCTCTTCGCCCCTGGTCCTCACTTGACTCGCTGAGTCAACCCTATACTCCACGGGTCGTCACAGATCGCGAGTCGCGGGGCAACCCGACTCGACTCGTCGAGTCCCTTATGGGCTCGGCGAGTTGCTCCCATGAAAAGTCTCAAAAGATCTCTTGAGGTCAGATCTGCTTCACCAACCAGTAGATCCAACCTTCTAACACTCGAAAGTCACGTAAAGGTTCAAACTTTACGTTCATGCAATGCTTATAAGACCAAAAATGAAGAAATAACCATTTAAATGGGGTCTTACTCTCAAGGCTCTCATGAAAGCTCATAAAGCTGGAAGCTTGGGACCTTTTGGACCTATCAAGGTCCAGATCTATCACCTATACTCAAAGGGACCTTACATACTTCACAATCTAACTCAAAATTGTACAAAGGAAACCCTAGATTCAAGGAATCTATCAAATACACGAAATGGGAAGGAACTTGTACCTCAAAACGTGTATCTCAGTGAGAACAACACATATCCAAGCTCCACAATCAGCCTAGCTTGTTCTACCTCCTTCCTTCTTGCTAAAACACACAAGAAATGGTGAGTTAGCCCTCCTCTTGCACCACAAACGATCTCTCTGCTCTCTAGGGTTTCTCAGGGGTGAAGTGGCTGCAAATGGAGGCCATAAAGGCCTTTAAATAGGGCTCAGGCCCTGAGATTTAGGGTTTCACTTTACAGCGCGGACTCGTTGAGTCCACGCATCGACTCGTCGAGTCCCTCATTAATCCAGACAAGAATTCGCGATCCTACTCGGCGAGTCTGAGCGCCTACTCGCCGAGTCCCTTCCTAAAACTCAAGGTAAATACTTAAAATAAGATACCTGGGAATCCGGCTGTTACAATTCTCCCCCACTAGAATCAGACTTCGCCCTCGAAGTCTGGCTCAGCAAACAACTCTGGATGCTGCTCCCGCATCTCCAACTCCGGCTCCCAAGTCAGCTCGGACCCTCTCCGATGTTGCCACTGGACCTGCACCAGGGGCACCTCCTTGTTCCTCAGAACCTTGATCTTCCGATCCCGGATCGCGATTGGCCTTTCAGCATAATTCAAGTTTGCATTCACTTGAATATCCTCCAGTGGCACCACCGCCGACTCGTCGGCTATACACTTCCTCAACTGAGACACGTGGAAGGTATCATGAATCTGGCTTAACTCCTCGGGTAGCTCTAGACGATATGCTACCTTTCCCACCCTCGCGGTCACCCTGAACGGGCCAATATACCGGGGCCCCAGCTTGCCCCTCTTCCTGAATCGAATCACTCTTTTCCAAGGGGACACTTTCAGGAGTACGAAGTCTCCCACCTGGAACTCAAGCTCGGATCGTCGCCTATCCGCATAACTCTTCTGGCGACTCTGAGCCGTCAACAACCTCTGCCTAACCTGTTGTATCTGCTTGGTCGTCTGAAGCACTATCTCAGTGCTGCCCATCACGCGCTGCCCTACCTCTTCCCAACAAATGGGAGTCCGACATCTCCTCCCATATAACAACTCGTAGGGAGGCATACCAATACTCGAGTGGTGGCTGTTGTTATAAGAAAACTCAGCCAACGGCAGATACGTGTCCCAACTTCCCTCGAAGTCCAACACACATGCTCGGAGCATGTCCTCGAGCGTCTGAATTGTCCGCTCACTCTGCCCGTCCGTCTGTGGGTGGTAAGCGGTACTGAAATGCAGCCTCGTACCCAAATCCTCATGGAACTTCTTGCAGAACCTGGAAATGAAACCCACCTCTCGGTCTGACACAATCGAGATCGGTACTCCATGCCGCGATGCCACCTCCCTCACATACAACTCTGCCAATCTCTCTGCAGAAGAGCTCTCACTGATAGCAAGGAAGTGAGCGCTCTTCGTCAGCCGGTCGACAATCACCCAAATCGCATCGACACCCCTCACGGACCTTGGCAATTTGGTGATAAAATCCATGGAAATCTGTTCCCACTTCCACTGGGGAACCTCAAGTGGCTGCAACTTATCGTGTGACGCTAGTGCTCAGCCTTAACCCTGCGACAGGTCAAGCACCTCTCAACAAACCATGCTACATCCCTCTTCATACAGGGCCACCAATAATCTTTCCTCAGATCCAAATACATCTTAGTGGCCCCGGGATGGATCGAGAACCTCGAGCGGTGCGCCTCCTCCATCAAGCTCCATAATCAGCCTAGCTTGTTCTACCTCCTTCCTTCTTGCTAAAACACACAAGAAATGGTGAGTTAGCCCTCCTCTTGCACCACAAACGATCTCTCTGCTCTCTAAGGTTTCTCAGGGGTGAATTGGCCGCAAATGGAGGCCATAAAGGCCTTTAAATAGGGCTCATGCCCTGAGATTTAGGGTTTCACTTTACAGCGCGGACTCGCCGAGTCCACGCATCGACTCGTCGAGTCCCTAATTAATCCAGACAAGAATTCGCAATCCTACTCGGCGAGTCTGAGCGCCTACTCGCCGAGTCCCTTCCTAAAACTCAAGGTAAATACTTAAAATAAGATACCTGGGAATCCGGCTGTTACAGTCTCTTCCTCTCCCAGTGAAAGTATGCCTCTTAGATTCTTTAGCGCGCACATATGCTTAAGTGCAATCCATCTCACACACCAGCCGAGACCACACATAAATTGGAAGCCATTGGCCCTCTTGTCGCTCACCCCTCACTTTATCGTAGTCTTGCCGG